GGCGTAAGGCTTGACCGCCATGGCGTTTTGCACAAGAACGTTGTTGTCCTTTTTTCGAGCGTCGCTCTCTTCAATTATTTTAATTCATAGTGCTTCCGGTGCAGGTAATTCATCGCGCGACTCGATGGCACATCGGAAGTTTTCATATTGCGATGGCAGGCTGTATAATAACAAAATCGCGAGCAGATCGGGATTTATGATCACTTCCATTTCGGTCAGTTTATCCACTGCGTCGAAGAATGTGCGAATGTGTTCGCGCATGTCTTCCCCGTCCGCCATTTTTTGTAATGCGAGGCACTTCGTTGCCTTTCGAGCGGGACCTTTGGATTGATATATTCTTTCCAACTGTGATGATAAATGTACGGTATTAAAAGATTCTGCAGTTTCATGAAAATTAAAAGCTTTTTCTATGGCTCCTTTTTTTTATAAGATTTCCTGTAAAAAAACTTTTCTTTTCACGAGCTATAAGTAAAGCAACGGTAAAAGAAGCAGTAAAGATAGTATTGATAAAAGGATATTTTTGACATGCTTTTGCAATAAATTTGCATGTTTAAGTTTTAATTCTCGTAATAAATCTGATTTTTCTACATTATAGGTAGGTAATATTATAAGTAGGAGGTAATATTATAAGTTAGTACAGAATGTCTGAGTGTAAAATTTCTTCATAAGTTTATATCACTCTGTATCGATCCTGGCTTTGGATCCTCTTCAGTGTACCACTGAGATAATAATTCTTGATCTTGTGTGCCAATAATTTAATTTTAATAAATTTGTTAAAGATTGTTATACGTCGCAACGTGCTGTTGATAGAAGCGCCATCTGTGGTCGGCGATAGCGTATCGTTAAAGCGATTTCCCAATATACTTAAGATAAAATTAATAAAATGTCTTCGTATATATGTAGACTACTTAAACAGTCAAATTAATCTGTAAAGAACAATAGAAGTGAAATTACTATAAATGATATTAATAATAGAATGGTCAAAAAATTAAAACTTACAATAGAAAGTTGTCGCGACAAGATGTCTTGATCCAGTCAAACGATATGCGAGTTTTTGCGAGCTTGTGACAGAACAACAAAGCTGAAAGTGTGTTCAACATAAATCATAAATGTGCTTAACATAAATTATAAATAGACAAAACGTATAGAAAAAATAATAAGTGACAATATTAAATAAATAAATAAATAAATAAGTAAATAAACGTAAATAGAATATAGAAGTATCTATGAAGTATCTATGAAAATATCAATGTATAATGGGTCTATTGCTTCAGTATCGTTTTTTAAATTTATTTTTTGTTTCTGTTTTTTTATGTGTCTTTTAACGTCTCTTAGTTAAGTTTTTTATTTAAAGTTTTTTCATTATCTAAAATAAAATCTTGACATTGTTCCAATCGAACTTGTGTCCCGAATTTATTCTCTGTTCGGCAATAATAGAACATTGATTAGAGTTTCTATTAATGTATTCGTCAATTCTTCTTTTTAATAGACGTCCAGGTTGGTCTACGTATGAAACTTCACATTTAGATCATTTAATTTTATACTACAATACATTATATTGAAAAAATATGAATAATTTCTCAAGCAATACTTAAAGCTTACTTAAAGCGTTAACATATGCTAAAAAAAGTGCATGTAATCGTTTTTTTAGCGCTTTGCAAGTTACTGTGCTACTTGGCTTGTCTTTCTATATTTTTATAAAAGTATTTAGTTTATTAAGTCCTATATATGAAACTTTATCTTAAATAAAATTTATTAAATTGTTGGCATGCGAGATCAAGAAATTATTATCTCAGTGATACACTGAAGAAGACCCAAAGCAAGGGTCGAAATGTATGTATAATATAAAGAAATTTTACACGCGGACATCCTGTATTGATTTATTACCTCATTAAGCTTATTACCTAACTTATTTATAATTCTTAGGATCAATAGATTTCAAACGAAAATAAAATAAGTGATAAATACGGCTTCTTTTGATTTTTTTCTGGATATACGTGTCTATCTTTCGTTGAAATCGCGTTTGACTGCTATACGAAATAATATGCCGCGTCACCGCACTGGTGCACAGCCAGGAATAGAGGAGAAGCATTGGACTCATAGTGGTGGACAAGCACCGGAGCGGATATGCCGCGTCACCGCACTGGTGCACAGCCAGGAATAGAGGGGAAGCATTGGACTCATAGTGGTGGACAAGCACCGGAGCGGGCGAGAGGCAAGGAGATTAAGGACCTGCGAAACGGGACCCGATTTATTGCGTGTGCGCGCGCGCGCGCGCGCGTGTGTGTGTGTGTGTGTGTGTGCGTGTGTGCGTGTTTTGGAAGGCTTTGGTTATAATATAATAGTAGAGAAATATAATATATTATTAATAATAAATCCTTTTTTCTGACATTATAAAAAATTATTTTGTACTTTAAGAACAAATAAAATAGTGTAAAGGTTATTTTATTTTATAGCATTTTTCATTGGCAGAGCTAGTGCATACTCAGTGCACATTAAAGCCGTTGAATACCATTCTAATCCAATGACGGATTAACGGATAGATAAACAAGGCATTTGTCTATGGCGACAAATTTGAGGGGGCAAAAATAAATAAATTTTTCGAGACTGAAAATTTTCATACAGTTGAGAGAAATTTTTAATTTGTTAATCTAACGTTTTCGCACGAGTTACACTGAGCATATTTTATCAGAATGATATTTTAAATATGTAGTTAAAAATGTATTATTTTTACTTTTCTTGTTAAGGATTATTGAATATTTTTACCAGCTAATGCGGGGACATTTTTTTATCCATTTTCCCTCTTATTAAATTTATAAATTAATAAATAAAACCATCTCGGACGGCTAGATGTTGGTGCCTAGGGGCGGCCAAATGTTTAATCCATCACTGTTCTAATCTAAATGTAAAAGTGAGATATCTCAATTGATAAAATGTTCAATGTATACTTTATCAAGTGACATAATAAAATGTATTGAATATTGCGCAGTTTAATTCATTTCTATATTTTTATTAAATATATATTTTTATGTCGATTTGTGTACAACGGTTTTAAAGTGCATTATGTGCGCACTACTTCTGCCAATGAAAAATGCTATACGTTGCATTATAAAAAGTACTTATTTTGAAATATTTGTTTAAGATTATTGGCGAATAAGTTTCCAATATTTTCAAGAGGTGGCAAGCTTAATACTAAATAACTAGTTATGAGATTATTCATATTTGAAATAAATGTTTTGTGAAAGATTTAAGAAAAATTGCTAAGATTGATTAAATTTCAAATATTTGGCATTGTATTTTAAATATGAAGAATAAGAATATGTATTTCTGAAACATTGTGCTGTTTTATTTGCACAAAGAAAGAAACACTGCACAGTCTTATAAAAAGTTTTTTTCAATGTGTACGGAAATAATTCTATAAGTGACTGGATTGTTCGCGAATAATTCCGACGTTTTTGTTGTAATGATTTCAACTGTTCTGATTTACATTCTGGACAGTTGATTAAGAATCGCATCATGAAATTATCTGAAAGATCCAAGATCAAAGTTGTGAAGAATGTTGTGTAACATTACCAGTTAAAAATATTTTGAAATAAAAATATTTTATTTTGTCTTTCCAATTTTTGTTTAAAGATTTGTTTTGTCTATACAAAATTTGATTTATAATGATTTTAAGTATTTAAATATTGAATATATAAGTCAATAACTTTTAAACGAATAAGTAAATTTAAATAAACTCTTGTATAAGTATTTGTTTCATTAATATATAAAATTTATGTATATAAATAATAGCACATACACACACACGCGTGTGCGTATGTATGCGCGCGCGCGCGCGCGCGTGTGTGTATATATATATATGTATATATATATATATATATATATATTACACATAAATATATGTATGTATAAAAAAAAGAACAATTTGTAAAATTTTTATTTAATTCGTAATATTTTAAAAATGAGTATTATTGTTCGAACTTATTTTACTACACTTAGAATTTAGTTTAATTTAAGATGTATCATAATTATTATTATTAATATTTTATTTTAATCTAATTTAAAATTAGAAATTAAAGAAAATAAATATTTTACAGCTTCCTACATCCATCCATGTGGCTACAAAGATCCTAATTATGATCAATGCACTATAGACAATATTTACAGATCGATAGATACGATGTGCACAAAGAATTACGATGTAATGTTTTTGAACAACCAATCAATACTCATAGACAAAATAGTTATTTTTGATACAAATAATCTTAAATTATCTCTCGAAGATATAAAAATACTTGGGATTTGTGATAATTTGAATATAAAATATGTGCACGTAGATCCTGACAGACTCCATTATGATGGTGAAATTGTAATTGGAAAATTGAGAATTAATTCTTCGTATGACTTCAACATACGTGTACTGGTGCCTCTTGCTAATAAGGGACTGGTTACCATAAAACTAACAAGTACGTAAAGTATTAATCTTATATATTAAATATTAATCTCTTATTATTATAATTGTATATTAAAATAACATAAAATTTTAATGAAATTCAGCAGAAAAAAAGTTTAATTATGTTTCATTGAAATTAGCAAAACTGTGTTTTTTTTTGCAGATGACACATTATTGAAAATAAATCTGGATCTAAAAGTGGCCACTAAGAATGAGAAAAAAGAGATATATGCTTCGAAAGTAAAGACAAATATTAATGTCGTAGGAATGGAATATATATTTGATGAAAGCGAAAAGGAATTAGTTCATCTGCATCAAGCTATCAAAAATGTCGTAGACAATAATACTGAAGATATTATTAATATTGTTGTAGCAGAAGTAGAAGAGAAAATCTCTCAAATAATTATCGACGCATTTAATACTATTAGCCGTTCCAATTATGAGAAACTATTTGGCAAGAATGCATAAATTGTCTGGTACTTTAGGATTCGTTATTGTAAGATTTCTTATATATTAAAATTGTACTAAAAAAATAGCTGAAATACTTGGAAATTTTGTTACAATACTTTGAAAATCGATGACGTGAAATTTAGTTAACCAAGTGATGATAACATTATTATTATTCATATAGATTGTAACTGCAACAGAGTAATATTTAAATTAAATTTTTGTCATCTCTGGATGGAATAATAGAGACTAATTTTATCTAATTTTCTTTTTTTACTGCATTAGTCTATATTTGTACGTGTTAATGCTGCTGAAGTATCGATAGGCTTAATAATTTCAGATTTGATGATTCTCATTAATTATTATTTGTGGCATATTGCACTGCGTTGTGTTGTGTTCTTGCGTGAGATTCACACGGCTACTTTTATCCAGCTATATAGTGGGCAATTCTTCTCAATTTATTGCCTTGAATTGAGAAGAATTGTTTATCTTATCTGTGGATCAGTAAGACACAATAGAAATAATGGATAGAATATTGGATGTACTGCGATGTCTTTTGTTCTTAGTAATTCATTAAAATTTGCTCTCTGAAAATGACTCAAATTTAAAGTAGCTAATTTGTCGACACTATATATATATGTACAATATATATGTATATACAGTGGTGATGAAAAGTTTCCGGCCAATTCAATTTTCTTCTATTATTCTTACAAATAAATATATTAATAAGTCACATTTTTTATGGAGAAAAGGACGTCAAAACAATATATCAATAATGTAGTATATATTATTTATTAAAGCAATACGACTTTTATTTACAAAAGAAAATAAAATTTACGTGGACAAAAGTTCCCGGCTACTTTTTTAATACTAAAAAATATCTCTTATGTACGGTGACAGTTAATAAAAGGATATCTTAGATTTATGATCGACTTCAGCATTTAGCCATCCCTTTGGCGGCGATAACATTCTCGCAACGCTGAATCAGCTTCTTTAAAAAATCGAACGGTATTTTTGCTCATTCTTCCTATAAATGCTGAAGCAAATCGGCGCGATTTGAATGATTTCGACTCTCAATGCAATGTCCAAGCTCTTCCCATAAATTTTCTATTGGATTAAGGTCTGGTGATTGGGTTGGTCACTTCAGCACTTGATTCTGTTTGACCCCAGTCTTTCACTACCTTCAAGAATGATTTGGGATCATTATCATGCTGAAATATTCATTCTTTTGGTATAAAATTATTTGAATATGGAAGGAGATTATTTCTCAGTACTTTCTTCGGGCTGTTCATTATTCCTTTAATGTGAACCAGTGGACCAAGCCCATTGGCTGAAAATATTCCCCAAACAAATACGCTCCCTCCACCATGCTTGACCGTGGGTATTTGGTATCTATTGTCATACCACGCACCAGCAGAAGATGCCGAACAAATTGTCTGTGATCGCTCTCAAACAAATTGAATTTCGATTTGTCCGAAAAGCAACTCTCTTTCAATCTACTCTCGATGTTGCTTAGCAAAATCTAATCGGGCCTTTTGATTTTTTTTACTAAAGGTTTCTTGACAGCAACGCGACCTATTAGACCAACATCGTGTAGCCGTCTCGAAACAGTGCGTTGATTTACTGAGACATGATTTTTTTTGTTTTTAATTCGCGAGCGATATCATTTGCTTTTCCTAGGAACCGCAGTAGACTTCCTTTTGATAATCTTATCTATCCGAAGAGTTGTTTTCCGTGGACGACCGCTTCGATGTTTGTCTTTTAAACCAAATCCTGAGCGATATTTTGTAAGATCATTCACCATTGATTTTTCAACGTCCATTTTTGATGCAATAGTCCATGAGCTTTTCCCTTGTTTCTAAAGCCGCAAAATCGTTTCATGCAATTGAATACTTGTGTGTCGAGCCATATTTGTTTACAAACTGACCTCCTTGTTTAATTAAGAGTAAAAAGCGTCACAAGCAGCCGTAAGGCACAAAAAATTATGCGACCGAGAACTTTTGTCCACGTAAATTTTGATATGTTTTGTAAATAAAAATCATATTACTTTAATAAACAATATATACTACATCATTAATGTTGTTTTGATGTCTTTTTCCTCATTAAAAAATATGATTTATTAACTTCTTGATTTGTAAGAATCATAGAAGAAAATCAAACTGGCTGGAAACTTTTGACCGCCACTGTATATATATATATAGAGTAAAGCGGAATAATTTGGATAAGTTAATTAAAATTTTAAAATTGTATAAAAGATTGATTGCATAATGTATTTAAGTATACAAAACATACACTATTGCACCCATAGTGTATATTTTGTTTAATTAAATATACTATACGACCTAAATATGATTATTAACTTATTCAAATTATATCCCACTTTACCCTATATCGCTAAATAAGCTAAGTTTGTTTATTATTAAATTTCATCATTTTTTTATACATAGACTACTCAGTAAAAATCTATGTACGTATACATATACTATAGTACGTATACATTTGAATTATTTATAGGTTAACAATAGAGTTACAATTGATCTACAGAATAATTATTTCGATATGAAAACTTTGAAAAAGAGAGACCACCAGCGTAGGAGTTACATTGACAAAATGTTATTGTTTAACTCTGCATAATTCGAAATTTACAGCTATAAAATATTAAATAACAAATGACACACTGAAACAAACTATTTATAAAACCTATCAGGAATTATAGAACTATTGCGAGTGCCAATGGAACTTCAAAACTTGCGGTGCCAACTTCACACACGCTAAAACTCTTAAGTTTAAGATTAGTAAGAAAATATATATAATTAAATACTAAAACGTACTTTAGAAAAGTTTGAAATACTTGAAAGTAGAAATATTGCAATAAATGTTGATTATTGTGCATATGTATATTGTGTATATTGTGTTATTGACATATTAGTGTCACATGTAATACTGAGGAGCTATACTGAGCAAATAATTCCATAAATAATCATTAGAATTCGTTAACTGATAATGAAAATTTTAAGAAGGGCAGTTGTGTCTGCATTCGCCCTAATATCGCCTCCTCTTCTCCTCTACTATTTTTAAAAATATTTGTATTATTTTAAATGTTGACATTTTTTGTCATAATATCATCGCGTGAATTTCGATGTTATGGTGCACCAACGACAATTATAACTCAAAAAGTACTTAATGAAAAAATATTTTGTTATTGTTTAAAAAAATGTGTTATTGCGTAAAAAAATGTTTTAAAGAGTTCTCAAGCTAAAGTACAAGAAAATGTATTACAAAGTCAAACAAGAAAAGTACAAGAATATGTATAAAGAATAAGGAATTCCATTTAAAAAAATCGATGTAACATTGACCTTAGCGACGTCACCTAAGATCAAATCGATCGTACCTTTTTATGTCATTCTCCGAATAACAACTTTTATTTTAAACATTTTTCCATATCTACCATAGTTTTCGAGAAATCTTAATGTATTAAAATGAAACATCCTGTATAAATATATTCTAAATATTCTAGTTTTTATTTAAATATTAGGTGCTTAAATTAATTCTCGTTGTTGACCACGAGAGATTAGCTTATTTGTATTATTTCAACATGGCTAAAAGTGATTGCTGATGTATATGAAAGTATTGTTAATAGACTTTATTCATTAGTATGTAACATTTGATCGGATGCAAAAAAACATAATTTTTTATCGCATTGAAAATGTCTTTCATATAAAAAATGGGTTTCATATAAAAAAAAGAGCATTTGCGGGAAGCATTACTTTCTGTTTTAATCTCAAGAAATCTGCTGCTGAAAAAAATCATCATTTGTTAATGGAGACTTATGGGGAGCATGCTCTATCTGAAATAACTTGCAGAAATTGGTTTAGATTGTTTAGAAGATTCAAAACAACGATTTCGACATGAATGACAAAGAGCGCCCTGGTCAGTCGAAATTTGAAAATGAAGAATTGGGAATAGGAAACTAGATTCCACATGTATTGAGAGAAAGAGACATTGCAAAACGTTTGTCATTGTGAAGTACTGTTTTAAAAACAAAAACGGAAGTCGTTTTTGCAAATTGTGACTGGCAATGAAAATTGGATTCGTTACGACAATTCTAAGAAATTATGTGTCTCGGCGAACCATCAACAGCAAAACAGGATATTCATGGAAAGGTCATGCTGTACATTTGGTAGGATCAAGTCGGTGTAGTATACTATGAGCTGCTACAACCGAGTCAAATCATCAATGCTGATCGAACGCTACCGATGTCAATTACTCAATTTGAATCGAGCACTCAAAGAGAAACGCCCGCAATATCCCAAAAGACATGACAAATTTAAATTATTCTTCTTCATGATAACGCTAAACCACATGTTGCAGAACCAGTGAAAGAAATCTTGAAGACACTTGGATGGGATTGTCTTACCACACCTGCCCATGATGCAATAGGTAGACATATACAGGGTTGGCCATATTCGACGGAAAGATGTATTTTTTTTCAATCATGGGAAAAAAACACAGTGCTACGTCGTTACTCGATCTAACACCTCTGTCAAAAGTTACAGTGTTGCCAGATCTTTCCGTCGAATATGGCCAACCCTGTAGTGTGCTTGTAATTAACAATAAGATAAGTTTGCGCATAGCAACGCGCTGACCTTTTTTCCACCATTTTACAACATATATATTCACGCGGATATTATATGATTTGAAATGATTAAAAAATATATTAAATATTAAGCGAAAAATAATAAAAGCTCATTTTTTTAACTGAACTTTTGCACTAGTTTATCTTTCTTCCTTTTCTCTTCAGGAGGAAAGAAGAAGAAGAAAGATGAACTGGCGCAAAAGTTCAGCCAAAAAGAAAAAAAACAGGCCTAATAAATAATAGTAAAAAAAGTAATAAATAAGTGATTATTTACTATAAAGAAGTGATTATTTACTATGTGTGAATTTTACTGTCATAGCAGAAATATTGATATGAAACATGAATATGAATGACCGTTCGGCGTTCTTTATTTTATTTGATTTATTCATGCACGGTCGTTCTTCTTATAACGTTGATAATGAAATCATTTATTAGTATAATGTTTTCTAAAGAGTTCTGGTGATAAAAATTATTATTTATTTTTTAAATAATTTTTACTACCATAGAAAGGCGCCTTTCCGGGAATAGGTATGAGATGCTGGCCGATTACCGTGATGATGATTTTCTTGCATCTCTGAATATATTGTAACGTTTTCTAAAGAGTTCTGGTGATGAAAATTATTTAAAAAATAAACAAATAATTTTTATCACCAGAACTCTTTAGAAAACGTTAGAATACATCCAGAGATCACGAGGATCATTATAGAACTTGCAGAAGTATCGGTAATCGTTTAGCGTCTCATCTTTGTTCTCATACTGCTGATTATTTGGTGGAAAAAATTATTTAAAAATGAAAATAATAATGTTTACCGCCAGAACTCTTTTTAGAATTATGTATCTTTGAAAATCCTACAAGAACTGCACCGGAAACTCTCATAAAGTGATTTGTAAGACAAATTGATTTTGTGACGAAAAATTATTTTGTATGGAGTTTAACCGTCAGAATTATTGATAAGACGTA